TGAGTTTCAAGGCCCTTTATAAGCCCTAAAATGTTTGTTGGCCCTGGTCAAAATGCCTACAAGTGCCAAATGTAAAATCCCAGTCCTGTCTAATAACTGTCTATGTGTTCTAGAGTGGGCATACCACGTGTAAGCACTGCACAGCTGTAGAAGGACTCTTTGGAATTTAGTGGCCAAATTTATACAACCAGCGGGTTGAGCAGGTGTTGAGACCCCCTGGACTCTGCTCACTTCTAGAGCACGTGAAAAGTTGTATGCATATTTTATAATGCAGTAACCTTGCCCTGGTCTTTAGTATTCAAGTGGTGTCAGGCAGTGAGCATGTCCTTCCCTAACTACCTTAATGCCACTGAAGCATGCAGAATGTTTTTACCATTTCCTCTTGACACTATTAGGCTAGAAGTGAAGGGGAAGTTCCCAGCCTGATCCCATCTGCATATTAAGAATTATGAGAGAGTTCAGGGTATCAGAAATGCTACTCGTCATCTGTATCTATCTATTTATCTGTCTACCAGAGTGAGTTCATGGTGTCATCTTTAGCTATCTGTTTATCTATTTGTCTACCAGAGTGAGTTCAAGGTGTCATCTGCCTCAATCTATTTATCTATTCGTCTACCAGGGGGAGTTCATGGTTTCATCTGCATCTGTCTGTTTATCTATGTGTTTGTCTTTCTATATTCAAGGAACATACATTTGTACTTGAGCAGTAGTTGTAGGGAGGGTCAAAAAATGTTTGCAATTTTCCCATTTGGTGACTCTGTATGCCACCCTTCTAAATTAAGGAACATATTGCATATGCATTAAAAAGGTAAATCTTACATTATCCAGTTACACTTTTAAGTAAAGAATCTGATTTACTGATCGGTTACAAGTGCAAAGAGGAACCCTCTATGAAGTAACATAGGTAGGAACATGCTAAACTCACCACCACTTATACTACAAATGAGCCTTCTTTTATTCACAGACCATTATCTAGGACATTCTAAACCAGGTCAAGATAAACTTCCAGATTCTGTGAAAGTGCTGACCCTCAGACTGTGGCCACTGCCAAATGCTGACTCGTTTGCAGATCCCCACAGTAATGTTCAGGCAGTAGCATGGTCCAAAAACAAGCTGACATTAGGGCACGAAGTGTTGAGGCAGACAGAGTCATAGCACAGGCACAGATCAGAACAGAAAAACAGAAGAACTCAGGGTCATAGCCAAACCAGCAGTTATTAGATATTGCTTGGTGGGTTAAGGTACCCCATTCTCAATATTTGACATAGAAGATAGCACCTAAATGTTGGACTTTAATGGTAACACACATACAAAATTGTACAGTTAAATATCTTTTTTATTACAAATACATTAAAATATTTTCCTTCTTTAAAAAAACATACACAGAATGTGTTACAAGCCATATATAAATCTTTGAGGGATAATCTCAATTTACCACTGGACCAGCCAAAAACCTTTATTAAAGTTTTACATCTCTCGCAAAAACTGTTATGCATATCATATATACGAGGTAGTTTACAGAAATCTGGTGCACGCCAGCAGTTAGAATTGCAGAACAGAGTACTAAGGTACCAAAAGGAACGAGCAGGAAATTGAACACTATCCTAACACACTAACCAAGATGTCAGCTTGTGAATTTACAAGCAACAGTCCCAACTTGAATGTGCCTATGCCGTATGCCGCATTCTGCATTTCAGACTGCAGATGGCACGGACACATGCCTGGGAACAGTACACTGAGGAAGATGCCAGGACCATAGCTGATCAAAAGACGGAAACAGGACAACATAGTACGATATTTATGTCCTAGGTGTGGGGCCCATATAACGGTAAAAAACATTTCAATTGCCATGTTTGGGTAAAACCGAAAAACAAAAAAATGGTCCAATTATTTAACTATTGTTCTTGCCATAATTGTATATTTGCATACAAATAGAATCTTTACTGTTTACAAGTAGCTCTTGAATATGCAGATATCTGATTAATTATTTAAAGGTCAAAGAGAGAAGACACATATATGGATGAGTTCACCCAGAGCTGACATATTGCTGACAAAATAAGGCAGACACCAGTGCAGATCCTTCTCTCTGGCACTGCAGGAAGCCCAAAGAACACTATAAAACAAATCTATTCTAACTCAAACTGCTGATAATGCTAATTAGACTTAACACAGCCTGACAACTAGATAAAATCTTATCTCCAAAACAAAGCACATGTATTCTGTGCCAGAGAAAATTTTCTGGTGTCTATATGAGCTGAGTTGGCTAAAATAACAATTGCTGCAAAATATATGTATGGGTGAACATAAACACAATGCACTGACACTTCCGCTGACGAGCCTTACACACTCTATTTATACATATAGATGTTTAATATCCCACTAGGCTTTCTTCTCTAATTGTAGCAATTCTCTTCTGAAGAGATTGCCACTAATACAAAAGATCTGCCTTGAGTGATTTCACCAAAGGTACACAAAAACAGAGAGCATGGGGTGGCTATTATACTGAACAGTCAGAGTGTTCAAAAACCTATTCTCTTCTCCTTATTTTCAGCAGAAAGAAACACGTCTATTCAGAAAGATGTAATGAATTTGGACCCACTGAGATAAGCAGGAAGGAACTCAGTTCCCCAGGCGCTGAAGCAAGATGTCACATATTGAGGCTTTCACAGGTTATTTATTTGCCGTTTACCCTGAAAGGGTCCCCTTAAAGGGTGAGTCGGCCATTAGTTTAAGAAGGATGCCAGCTTGCTGAATCACACACCTGAAACACACTTCCCAGATCCAGACTTAGTCATGGCCATTAATAGAATCAGTCATGACTGGACCTATGTAGGAATCTGAATAATGTGTCTTAAACTAAAGCCAAACTTCAGGAAGGTGTAAAAAAAACACCCCAATTAAAGCAATGATGTATTCACTGAAAAATGTTCAAATGTATTTTTAAATGCAACTAGAATTTGGCTTGGTATCAGCTCCATGTACAGCAGAGCTCAGACGTGGAAAGGGACTAGCATCTCTAGGAGCTAATCAGGTGTCCTGCATTTTCATGTGATGACAAGGAACATAGAAGAAAAAACAGTGGAAGCAGAGGGGTGACCGGCTGCTACTCTAATGTGTTCATAGACGGGGGTAGGGAGGTAAGATGTCCCTGAGCCCAACACTTGCAGGGGTCAGAGGTTACTTGAATTTTGACAGGTGCTACCCTGTCAACTGCCTGCTCGTGCATTCACAACCTCAGAGCATGCGTTAAAGCATCCAATAACAGAGCCAGTTCTGAGTAATGTAACCAAACACAGGACTCTGTTATTTAATACGATTATGGAAACTTAGTTGCTGGGAGACAACGTATGATGTCATGTGTGATGTTATCAGAAGAGCATCTGTCAGGCTCCCATCCCCATACTTCATTGGAAGTGTCAGATATAGGCAAAGTAAAGGAAGATACATTTGATACCAAACATACCTCTATTGTAAGACACCTGCACAATATGAATCATTTATGACTATTCACGTTCTTGCAGAAGCCCTATCATGACTGTTGGTCAACGAGTGGCTCAATATTCATGCTGGAGTGGCTCAATATTCATAGTGGATTTTTCAGTTGGTATTGCTTGGAGTGAGACTCAAGAAGTCCATGTAATTACAAGAGGAGTGAGACTCCATGGCAGGAGTTGGTAACACTAGAATTTTAGTATAATATAATTGGCTAGATGATTCATCCTGCCATCTATCTGAGCTTTTAACCAAAAGGTTTCTTGCAGAACATCTATTCTCCTCTATAAATCTTATATGCAAGTGCTAACCTAGAAACCTCTACAATACACTTCAGGAAAATGGCACCATTGTTTTTTTTTATAAGGCACCTTGTTGGCTAGGTTTGCTGGGCCATTAACGTGTCATCTTCTGCAGAATGGAAAGACGTTGTGTAAACTGCCCATCAAATGTTTAGGCAAACTTAAAGTGCTGCCTGTATTCTGATTGTCACCAAGGAATATGCACTCCTTTTAAAAGCTTGTAATTGATTCACAGAGTCTAACATTAAACCCATTAAGAGGATGGAGAAGATCAGACAGCAAAATCACATCAACAAGCTTCCTGGAGGCATCCATTTCAACTGACAAGTGTTTGTAAATAATTTACAAATCTATCTGGAAAGTAGAACCAAGGCCAGTAATACCGTCTCTCCTACATCTTTTCCCTTTAATAACCCTGTTATCCCTCAGACTGGAAATCTGATTGAAATCAGACCAAAGTGAAAAAGATTTCATCTGCCCTCAAGAATGCTTCTTCAAATCCATCAACTCAAGAAACATTCCACGTCGAGTTCTGCATTATAGAGGTGCAGAGGGTATACTTATCTCTCAGAGGAAGTCTTGGAGGCAATATAAATGAAGACATTTCCATCCCATACAAAAAGTGAATAAATGACTGCGACAGAATAATAAAAGAAAAGACTAAAACAAGAAATAAAGATAATAATGATGATAATAATACTAATTAAGGGCTGGTCAAACCTCAGGTGCAAAGTATGAAATCAAACAGTGACAGCTGGCGCCTAACTTTTTGGTGCCTTTTCTATTGTTGTTTCCCTGAAACAAATACATTGTGCAATTGTCCTTCACTTGGACAGAATGGTCCCTGAATGCTATATTAATATTTTCACCCTTAATAATATGAAGGGAAAACAATATTTTTGCCAAAGATCTCATTGTATATGAGATTATATAATTATATGCATCATTTTGTTTGGATATCTTATACAAGCTAAAGGACAATACGAATCTGGGAACATACAAATCCAAAGCGATTGGTAAAATAAAGATACATTTTGCATACTATAGTCAAATACTAATATAAAGAATAGGAAGATAATAAAGTAATAACTCAATCATTATCATTTTTATAATACCTAATACTGAAAAAAGCTGCAATACAGAAATGAGGGAATAGCGTAGAAAAATCAGAGAGGGTAAGCAGATGTTTACAGAGAATGACAGTACCTGTTCTTTTCTTGTTTTCCTGCAGTTCCTCAATGAAGTGGTTGGGTTGGAACATGAGACAAAAGGCAGCATTGATCTGCGCTAGATCTCCCCCTGCAACTAACAGCCCAGTATGAGCAGATACAGAGTGGAAAGAGAGGATGGGTTATACCTAGCAGAACACGTGGAGCAGAAGGAGGAGGCAGATGCTGGTGCAGGGGTCCAGATAGGGACCGCTGCAGTATTTCTCTCTGCTGTCTGTGTGTGAAAAGGATACGTTGCTTTATAATGACCATGTCCTGCGTGCATCATGCACGTGTAAGTGCTGCTGCTGTTATTGTTGGAAGGACTGACAGTTCCCCTGCTGTGCATCTGTACAGAGACAGAGAAAAGAACAGAGAAAATAAGTTCTCCCTGTACTAGCCCTTATTGTTCAAAAACAGGTGTCTCACCAATTTATTTTACTGTTGCTGCTTTGGGATTTAAATCCAGAACCAAAAGTCAAACAAAGGGACTTTGTAGTCAGAGCATACAACATGTTGTTACACACGTACAATACAAAAAAAAAACATTTATTACATCCATTGTTAAAAGTATACATGTTCTCCCTGTAAGAAGACCCAGAATTTGTGTTGCAAAAGAAATGTGAACCAGACTGGCTGGTCTTTTCTAGAATAATAGGGACAACAAATTTATAGATATACACAACCATAGGTATACTTCAATCAAAACCTCAAATACAAAATGTAAATGTATTCGGGACGCACAGTAAGGTTTAACACATTAAGAACTGCATTGTCCTTTTCCTATCTATCCCTTTACGAACCTACAGCCATGGGTTTTGTGCCACGGTTATGGCTATATTCCACCCATTCTTTGCAATACACAACTTAGCTATAAAACTGATTGATACAGGTCCATCTGATACCTATACCATGGTTTGCGGCCATCCTTATGCATACCCCTTCGGACCAAATTGTCTCACCTGTCACACCAACTGATCTATAGACAAAGGAGTAACATCATGGATATCTAGCCTCAAGACCCCATACTGATCAATGGCAACTAAAAGCTCTGTTCTCATTGCTGGTGTGTATGAAAATCCTTCCTTGTTTTATGAAGATATCCTAATACTAATTCATGTACCTGCCTTAAGACTGTATTTAGATATGTACAATAAAAACTATTGAACAAGAAAATTGTATTGTCACACCAACCGGAATCACTGCACCAAGGCATTTGCGGCGAAAACAACTGATCCTCAGCCTACACACCTAGTTATTCAGTTTCTCATATATGTATTGCTACAGATAATACAGGAAGTAGAGAGGAAGAGAGGAAGTCAAGCTGTATCTCTAGGAAAAACTTTCAGTTTTGGATTGAGTGCGGAAGGATTAGACCCTTTGCTAGTTGTTTATTTTTTATGTATGTGCCCATTGGGGAGATTCACCCCTCTTTTTCTACCAGGGATCATTGTCACAGAGAATGAAACTGAGGGGAAATCCAAAATTTTACGGTAGTCCCCAATACAAGAGATAAGGAAAAATATTTTAATGGGGACACATTTCACAGGGACAGCTGTTTAAGAGCGGTCCCTCACTTTAGGAGATTTTTTCTAACATCCTGCTGCGTCTCTGGGTCAGGAAGTAAAGGGCCATCTCCCCAGTAGGACATAGAGAGCAAAAAATTAACTGGCAAGGGTTTTAACCCTTCTCTACTCTAAAAAAAAAAAAAGACTATACATACATTTTTAACAGCATAGCATTTAGGAAGTAAACCTGTAAGGTGCTCTCTGGATTTTGGTTTCCGTGGATTACAAAGAGCTCTGATTTTGTTTTTGTTTTTGTTAAATTCTCCAGTGCTCCCTCCTTCCTCCCCGTCGCACCTTTTGCAGCCAATTCTGTTCTCACTGTAAAAACCCTATGCTTTTAGGTATAGGGGGACATATGACCTTCTCCCATGATGCAGTGCTGGGGCCCAGCTGTCTATCATTAGACCCAAGCACTGTCAAAAGATGAAAGGTTGATGTTACCACACTCTCTGAGTTCCCACACAAGATGACATGTATTTTAGAAATGGCTGGGACAGAGAAAGGGGCATTGAGTGCTGTAGAGATGAGTATAAATTGGTCAAGGGAAGAGCTTTATACAGACAATATAATTTTGCCCTGAATGGTGATCATGACTTTGATGCTCCAGTGTAGCTGGATAGCATTAGTAGTTTACCCTCTGCCCTTTCCTCTTTATCCAGGGCTCTTGCTAGTCACTGACATTTGGGGACCTCTACCAAGTTTTCCAGGTATCCTAGGGAGTAATTGTTGCCATCATTCCAAGTATGACAAACACACTTCAATCTATGGTCAGTGGCCATGACAGATAATTCCAGCATCTCGTGTACACCACCTACAAAAGACAATGGTGGAATGGAGGCTACGGTTAGCAGTAGCGGCAAGCAGACCAGCAGCAGCAACCTGAGAACTGTTTTCACATATTTCCCATTGAACCATCGGACCATTTTTCCAAATGAATTGACCATTGAAGATAAGATTATTTTCTGCTTAGTCATCTTCCAAGAAGTTGTTGCAAACTACCGACTGGCCTTTTAGCCTCAAGTGGCCACTTGTATTGGTTCATTGCTTGCCTTTGCAGTCTATTGGACTTATATTGCTCATCGGAGTAAGGTGAGGATGTGTGTGAGCAGGGAGCACTAGATGCACACCCAATTCTGCTTATGATCAGGTATCACTCTCTGCATCTGGTAATGGTATGCTGCACTCCTGATGGTACAAGACCTTTAAATAACAGGTGGGTGCTCAAAGTGATAGCATCAGATGGCGCCATGCCAAAACCAAGGTTACAAACTCACCAGCACTTGAGACATGTAACTGCATCTCACAAATTTATTGTGAAGAAGAGAATCACAGACAAATATGTTGATGGAGTGGTTGTTGTCAGGATGGAGAAGCCACATCAGGGATTTGAGGAGGGGGATAATACAATGGAGGAGCAGGGCAAAAGAAAATTCCACAGCTGCCTTTTTGAATACAACTACCACTTGCATTGACCACAATAAATTGACTTTCTTTGTCCTATGCAGAGGAAGTTATGATTATTTTGTTCATTTTTAAACCTTAGTGCGGGGTATTTTCAACTGCAACCACCACATTTGCATTAACTTTAACAAAAGAAGTGGGCGTTAAAAAATAATACCCTTGAACCTTCAAAGCTCTCATGGCCAAGAAAGATGTATAGGAAAATTGCACCCAAGGTTTATCATGACATCTTGCTAATCAAAACTGAGCTTGAATTCTAGCAGGTGTCAGTGAATTGCTGGTACTGAAGGATTGGCTGCAATCTACTCATAGTTTACCTGTAATCAGATCTGAATTTGTAAAGATCATTTTTGCTAATAGTATTGTAATATAAAGGTGGAACATGCTTCCGTGCTTGAAAACATCTTTTATATAACACTATTTGGGAAACTTTAGTGTTGATCTCAGAAAGATAGGTCTATTTGATGGAGGACTGGAAGTATAGGAAATAAAAATGAAATGATAATAGCTTGGCTAGTAATGTGACAGTAACAGCAGATAAGAAGCGTACGGGCTGTAGGGCGTCATACTGGAAAGGTAATGTTGCAGAATGATCAGTTGTTTCATATACAGTGTCTGGTCTCAGAGAACAATTTGGGATACAGCCAAAATGTATTTTCCTGAGATATAGAGATAGCAGCAGCAAATTTCTAGAAAATGGCCTGTATCTCTTTCTGCAGCACATGACTCATTCCTATATTATGTCAGGAAGAAATGAGATGAGGAGAACATATGAAAGAGCACCAGCTTTGATTCTAACAGTGGCATTCGGCTATTCACTCACTGCTGTTCGACATCTATGAGAATAGGCCGAGCAGCAGCGAGTAGCCTGCCGGAGGTTCGGCTTAGCCGATCGGCTGAATCAAACTCCTTCTGCACTTCAGGTCGGCCAAACATGCTGAGCATGTTCGGCCGACCCGAAGCCACACGAAGCAAGCCAATGTAGGCTGATTTCAGCCTATATACGGCTGAAATCAGCCGTACAAGCCTGAAGTGAATAGCCGAACAGCGTTCGGCTCACTTCACTTCGGGTCGGTTATTCACTCGGCTGTTTACAGCAGCTTAGCGAATAGACCCCTATAAGTTTATGGAGGTCCAGCATTGTCACCCTGGGCTTCTGCAGTACTATCCGGTATGATGATGAGTATTGCGATGGCACCTTCAGCTTGTTTAACAGATTTGGGCCCTTTTCTTATACGACCACAGCTCCTAGACTGCCCGGCTCTCCTGAGGTGTATCTGCCATAGCGGTGCATGCACTACTTTTTTTGAGCGCAACGTAATGCAATGGATTCGGTGTGAACTAGCCCCATTCACAGCAAATTTATTTTTCGGTGCCTGTCCACAAGCGTCCGAAAAATGGATTGCAACGTAATGGATCGGAAGGAACAGTTGCAAGTCAACGGACTCTCCGTTGACTTGCGGTTCCTTCTGATTTTAGTGTGCATGCACCCTAACAAGCAAAACTATTTAAAAATTAAAAAATAATTTTTTTGTACTAGGATTTAATGATACTTTAATTTGACCCCTGGAGGCCCTGCACTGCCATATATACAAATACCTGATGAGGCAGGTATTAAGACAGTACTCAAAGGTCAGATATAAAGGTCGGAGGGATGGGAGGCATAGTTGGGAGTCCTAGATATCATATATATACTAGATACATGGCCAGAAAAGGGTTTTTGATGGAACTAAGGACTGGCAGCACAGGACAAAAAAAATATTTTTTAGATAGAAATTAGTTATTATAACTGTTTTGAAACACTTTTTTTGGACTGTGGCCTGAGCAACAGCTAATATACAATGCTGAATTTTTGTCACATTTGTCATTGACCAGAATGGTATCAAGGATGGGCCATTTGAAGCACCAAAATCCTAAATGATGACATATTCTATGGTTGTCACTTATCATACATACATATATACACACTGGCATACATAAGCTTAAATACTAAGAAAGCTAAAGCTATATATTTTACACATTTTTACCAGCCCATCTATTTTTCTATTATTGTTATTTTCAGAAAATACAGTTAAAAAATATAAATTTTGTACTTGTATTTTGCATTCAGTGATTCCCGACTGGCCAGAATATATAAGGCTTATGATTATAGTAATACATTTTTAGTAATAAGGAAGCACTTTATTATTTAAAAAAATATTTCAATATATTTATAGAAGGGATTTGGATGAAGGATGTTTGTTTTGTAG